GTGTGCGCGTGTGTGTATATGTGTGGTGTGTGTGCTGTCTCTTATACACATCTAGATGTGTATAAGAGACAGAGTCCGGACTGTCCGGTGTGCGGTGATGTCCGGTGTCCGGTTCAGACACTGGTCCAGAAGGCAGTCCGGAAGTGTCCGGTGTCTGGGTCCGGGGTTACCATGGTTTTACATACAATGAAATAGCACACCATGCGAGGCTTTACTCTCGTGGAGGACATACTGCGCCAAAACAACGGAAACTGCAGCAGCCTTTTAGCGGCCAGTAGGCTACACCAGCGCCCTTCTGCCTCAAACTCTCAAAATTCTTTTGCTAGAAAAAAAACAAGAAGTCTTTCCGCTATTGAAAGCTCTCCTCTCCTCTCCTCTCCTCTCCTTTCCTCTCCTCTCCTCTCCTCTCCTCTCCTCTTCTCTCCTCTCGTCTCCTCACCTCCCGTCGCCTCCCCTCCCCTCCCCTCCCCTCCCCTCCCCTCTCCTCCCCTCTCCTCTCCTCTCCTCTCCGCAGTAGTGGTGGCAAGAGAACCACCGGAATTGAGGCTTTGCCTGTCGGGCTGCTCCATCTATTCATGGGGATCTGCACCTGCTGGAAACCGGGTCCAGCACCCTTCTGGATTCATCTTCCTCGTCCATCCATCGGTTGTTTTCCGGTCCACTTACGTTGTGGTTTTGTCTTCGTCTATTCGTCTCGAGCCTTGTAATTTTCTCTTCTGCTTCTTCTTCACCTCCTCCTTCTGCGTCTTGTTACTTGCTTGGCCCCTCTAGACACTAGTGTTGTTTCAGGGGCCAGCCTGGAGATTTGTTCTAAGGCTCGTCCCCATTGTATGGCCAGTGCCTTAGTTTGTGTTGCTGGGTCAATTATGCCCAGTCTCCCTTTGGCTTTGGGACGAATTATGGATTGCCATGTGATCCTGCTGATCACCTTGTGTTTTTCATGGTCACCCCGCCATAAGAACGCGACTATCTGGGTTGTAGGTGGCAGAGGGCTGTCTTGTCTAGCGCCCAGATGGCTGACTTGTAGGCGAGTACCACAGTGTTGATCACCAAAAAGCGGCCCATCAACCAAGTGTGTTTGTCCTTCCACTGTGTCAACTTTTCTCGGGGCGGTTCGAGTATCCATTCATTATTCACTGATGGCCTACCATTTGCTGATAGTGAGGTTCCAAGCACCCGGATGGGAGCTTCACTGGGGAGCCATTTGACCCTCGGGCGCTCCGGAGGCCTGACTCCTTGATGGTGAATCCACCATCCCAAGGTTTTATTTCCCCAGTTGACTCTCATGTCCGAGAGGGCGCAAAACTTCTCCATCATGTGTTGGACCTCCGCCATCGATGTGTGCGACGCATCCACCATCAGGTCAGATCATCGACAAACAGCGAGCATACCGGGACTGCTTCCTCGGGAATTGAAGAGATTCGGCTTCTCTTGATGTCCTTATGCGCCCGCAAGTTCGCCGCCAGGGCTTCCTTACTATCACAAACAGGAATGGCGCTATCAGGGCACATAGGGACTGTCGGAAAGATGGTGGAGACGCCGGTGGACTATGATGTCAATACTTCCTTTTTGAAATCCCGTTTTGAACGGGTTTCGCATGTTTGCCATAACGAGTGACTTCCTGTATCTACCTGTGTGGGATGCATGTGCCTTTTGCCCCCTTGCCCCTTGTACAATAACTTGAATAAGCTGAAAAAAGAAACACTTTGTGTGTGTGTGTGTGTGTGTGTGTGTGTGTGTGTG